TGTCTACTCCGGGCAGTTTGCTTGCTCGGCCTGTTCGTCGTTGACGCCTACGTTGGTGGGATTGGTGTCGACGTGGTGAATGAGATGGCCATCCTCGTCGAGGTGGAACCATTCATTAGCGTCGTTGGGGAGGGAATCAACGTCCCCGTTCATTTCTGCCGCCGGATTCGAGGTGCGCATACGAGCGAGGCGAGCTTTGAGCGTAAACATGCTTCTGCCTCGATCTCGGGACTTGATCTCCAGTTCCTGATGCTCGATATTGCTACAGGTATGGCTTGACGAGGAAGTCGGCGAGATCGCGCTGTCGCAGTCTGCGACTGCGCATATACCAGCAAGGTGTTGGTCGTTTTTGCAGAAGTGATCGGCGTTAGACTCGAGCGGTTCTGTGCATCGGAACTTCCTGCAAACATAGTGCCCAATGGTTACGCCATCGCTGACTGCAACCTGACACTTTCCTACTCTTTCTCAGTGAGAAGCATGACAATATCAAATACGATGAGACTTACGGTAACGAGGCTTACCATCGGGACCGGGTGGATCGATGAAGACCCTCATGCATAGGTCGCAGAAGTGTCTGAGTTCGTGTTGGCCAAAACGCACCATCCGCTCGTTACGCTCCTGCATGGCCAACGTGAAGCGAGCTCGTTGCTCGCCATCATGAGGAACTCGTAGTGGTGTCTTCTGGTCCATGGCATCCCGAAGAAGAGCGAATATGGTGAATGCATACCACACTTGCTCTTGAGTGAGAGTCGGACTGAACGGCAGCTTGTGTTTACTTGAGGCGATTCGAGGGCGAGACCAGTATTCTGACTGAATATAATCTCCCTTACGAGCGTGGTCGAACTCGTACGTGGTCGCGCAGCTAGTGGCCGACGTTCTATACGATAGAAATAAAGCTAATTAGCCGACCTCTCGCCGCCACCGACACCGCCACCGACACCGCGAGTTCGGAGATCACCTGCAACCTGGGCCGACCGACACTCACACGCCTTGCACCCTTTCCCACCTCGGCCGGCGCGGATTGGAAAACGATCCGTCCATCAGGAGCCGCTCTACCGTTGTTGCGTCACACGTTGTCCAACCTCGCTTACACGGAGCCCGGTTTATATAACTATAGCGCCTTGCTCGTGTTCGTCTGTTCTCCCCCTCCACGTCTGCTGTGCGACGGCTTGTCTCGACACACTATCTCATCATGCAGCGCGCCACGCTCTTCGGCTCTGTTAGGCGTTCGTATGTCTCTGGACGGTCGGCTTTTGCTCTTTCCAGAGGGTTCGCAACGTCGATGAGGACGCGTAAGTACTGGATAGTTGGCTAGATGCTGGTAGCCTAGGGCGTGCAAGGGCTGATCTATTCCTCATAGTGGACGGAAGTAAAATCGTGGTCACCAAGCCCGTCGTCGAGCTCGATGGAGATGAGATGACGCGCATCATCTGGAAGAAGATCCGAGAAGAAGTGAGTGACTTGCATTTCCAGTGCGCCCTTCTAAGGGACCCTTGGACTACGTGTCCATGTGGCGGTCTCACAGGACTAACATTCTGAATTGACTTTCTCCAGCTCATCCTGCCGTATCTCCAACTCGACATCAAGTACTTTGATCTTGGCCTTGAATACCGCGACCAGACGAACGATCAGATCACCGTCGACGCCGCGAATGCTATCATCGAGCACAAGGTCGGCATCAAGTGCGCGACTATCACCCCTGATGAGGCACGGGTGGAAGAGTTTAAGCTCAAGGAGATGTGGAGGAGTCCCAATGGAACGGTGCGCAGTCTCCAGCGTCACGTATGGTTCTCTCGACCTGACATAAATGCGGCCATAGATCCGTAATATTCTTGGTGGAACCGTTTTTCGCGAGCCTATCATCCTGAAGCGCGTCCCGAAGCCTGTTCCAGGCTGGGTGAATCCCATTGTCATTGGTCGTCATGCGTTCGGTGACCAGGTGCGTACTATGTTGATACTCCGTGTTTGTCCTGTGTACTGAGACTGTACTATACTAGTACCGGTCAACAGATTTTGTCGCCCCTGGACCTGGTAAACTCCAGTTGGTTTACACCCCTGCTGATGGCGGCGCACCAACGACTATGAATGTTTATGACTTCAAGGGGAAGGGTGTTGCCATGAGCATGTACAACACCGACGAGGTGAAGCAAACGGAGCTGGTCTTAGGTACTTATCTCACATATGTGACAGTCGATAACAGGCTTCGCGCATGCATCGTTCAAGATGGCACTATCAAAGAAGATGCCTTTGGTGCGTTCTTGGTGTTCCTTCATTGGAGGTTCATTATACTCACAAATCAACAGTTCATGTCTACGAAGAACACCATCATGAAGAAGTACGATGGACGTTTCAAGGATATCTTCCAGGAGATTTACGACAAGGAATACAAGCCCTTGTACGAGGCCGCTGGCATCTACTATGAACACCGTCTTATCGATGACATGGTTGCCCAAGCCATCAAGTCCTCAGGCGGCTTCGTCTGGGCTTGCAAGAACTACGACGGTGATGTTCAGAGTGACATCCTCGCTCAAGGTTTCGGCAGTCTCGGCATGATGACCTCCGAGCTCATCACTCCGGAGGGTGACATTATCGAGAGCGAAGCCGCACACGGCACTGTGACGCGCCACTACCGCGAGTACCAGAAGGGCAACGAGACCTCGACGAACCCCGTGGCGTCCATCTTCGCGTGGACCCGTGGTCTGCTTCACCGCGCCAAGCTTGATAACAACGACCCGCTGCGCAAGTTCTGCCTTGATCTCGAGGCGGCTTGTGTGGAGGTTATTGACGGGGATGGCATTATGACCAAGGACCTTGCCCTTGCGATCTACGGGAAGGCGATGAAGCGCGAACACTGGGTTGTTACCGACAAGTATATGGATGCCGTCAAAGTAAATCGCTTTGCCCTTCTATTGCGTTCTCGTTTGCTGACATTTTGTTCAGGCTAAGTTGCAAGAGAAGATGGCTGCTCGCGGTGCAAAGCTCTGAGTTCACACTCAACTACATCCCCGAGTTGATATAGGTCGTTGGTTGTTGTGGCATGTATATCCGGGAGAGCGCTTCGAGTTGTATCTTTTAGCTGTTGTTTGTATTCTACATGAGGAGGACGTTTACGAGCCATCTCGCATTTACCACAAGATCTAGCAATATCATCTTACCCTTTTTTGTTTACAGTACCGGACAGGCAAAGTCGACAAAAAGCACCGAGAAAGATCTAACAATTTTTCCGAAATTCTGACTGTACTATCACTGGACCACCTTTTCAAACCTTTTTCGCACTCGCTCCTTGGAAGTGCATGTATCTCAACGACTTCTCACCCAAATCTCACCAAAACTACACCAACAGACTCGTATCGATCTCTCCTTACTGGCTATCTATTTCTCAAGGTAAGATACGTCCTTGTTGAGTATTCGGCACGATGCCGGTGAGGTCTAGTCGAGAGGCCACACCTTTTCAAAACTGTCGCGTCACGATCAGTCACCGACAGAGTTGAAACTCCGACTATCCCTTTGGAATGAGCAGGCAGCAGAGTGTCATCATTTGAATCTCCGACGCTCATCAGCCAATCAACGAAGACGCGTCGCGCTTGTACCAGTCACACCTCTTCCACTTCGACAAAGTGAAAATCGCAACGCGCAACAACAGGTGCTCCTTAATCACAAGATAAAGCACATATTTGGCAGCTTACTTCAGTTAAGAATGAGCCCTTAATATTTTTATTCGCCCGATTTGAAGTAGTATAGTAATATCAGCTTATCACCCTCTCTGTCACGCATGGTGCACAAACAGTTTTTACCATACTACGCAATAACTTCCCTTACAATATGGGTTCATATCTCTGTGGTATATTGAAGGATGTTATATTTCATTGTCTGCGAGCTTACAAGGTCATGAGAGAAGGGGGGAAAGAGCTATAACGAAAACAGTCGGTTTTGAAAAAGGGTGACCTGCTTGAAAAAGGGGTCCAATGATAGTATATCTGAGGTCAGAACAGCGAAAGGAGCCTGAAAATGCACCTCCGAAGTTTTTCCCACGTGTTTTTGGGGGTCGGCCAAATTTTGAGCAGAAAAACCGGAACTTTTAGCCGTGAGAAGCGGCCGGGAGGGCCCCTAATGTCGAGAGTCGGTAGTCACTATTACCTTTGCAATGCCGTTGAGATGGAAAGAGCCATCTGTTGGGAAGGTTTATATACTATCTGTAAGGTAGATTGATGAGAAATTCTGATCCTCAACAACTAAGTAAATCTGGGACTTGGAGAGCATCTGACCCTCGACAGAACACCAAATAGCAACTATCCTTGACAAAGCACAAGGGTCTAATCCTCAATAAATTTAGTTCACCCTCGATAAAATCCTCGACTGATCTAACCCTTGACATGAACTAACCCTTGACATGATATATATTTATGTAAGAGACCTCACCCTCAACAGAACCAATCAATCATACCCACCTATTTTCTGACCGAGATCATGCTTAACAGGTCTAAGCCTTCGCAGAGTAAGTCCTCAACAGCTTTGGTCGATTTGCTGGCAAGTTTCCTATGACTCGAACCAGACACGAGTTAATGTTGTCGAGGGTTGAATCAAGGGTCCCAGTCAGTGCTGTTGATGATTACTAGTAATTCTGTCAAGGGTTAGTTCTGTCGAGGGCTAGTTGTTTTGTTGATAATGTATCACCACATTTGCACTTCACCGTACCTTCGCTAAGTATTCTATCAGGCATTGGGTTCTCTTCCCGAAACCGTGCCGCTCAACCCCACGTGTATCAAACACGCTGCAATTATGTTCGGTGACATTAACTTTCTGATCAGCCGAACAACTGCGACTGAGGTACAGTACCGGACAGGCAAAGTCGACAAAAAGTAGTGACCTCTTATATTTCATCCGAAAACTATCAGAATCGACTCGAAATGATATAAGGATCTTGCCACCAAAGTTTGAGTGAGTTTGCACGAGCCATTCATCCAAAAAAGGCGACCCAACTTTCTTCTAACCTCCGAAAATTTGGCCGACCCCCTATTTTTTGTCCTAAAATCACGAAAAAATCGCCAATCGACTCCTTTTGGCGTGGTGCTTATGATTCCGTTGAAATCTTCATGGCAAAATGCTGTGGGAATCACAGAAAAAAATCCGAAGTCAGGTGCGGGGATACGGGCCGGCCCCTGCCCCTTCCGTAAAGGGATGGGGTTGACCCCTAACTTCTGGTCCTCAGTCCTTGCAGCTGAACAGTGCGGCTATACTAGTCAGGTGCACTGTATGTAACTCTTAGGACCGCCATGGCCGACACCTCTCTAAACTCGCCCTCACTTTGGTTCTTCACTATAACACCACCCTAGGATGACTTTCTACTCGCCACCAAGACCGATGCCATCTCCAACGAAACTCAGAAAGCCAAGACCTGGTCAAGCTACAGAGACGGAGGTTCAGAAAGCGACCGCCCCCAGCTCTGGATGGGTCACTACAACAAAGCCAACCCCTTCGCGTACACTGCAATTTGCTGTCGCATCTCTGGATGCGGGAACCGGTCGTGTTGAGACCAACGGCGCTGTGTGGTCCAGCACATCAGCGCGGCCTCAGACACATGTGGAACAGTATTGGGCCGCTCGCGCGCTGACAGCCGAGACGGTGCTATCAGCTCACACCTCGCATCAGCGCGAACTGTCTGAAGTGAAGCATCGCGAGGAGGCTAGACGACAGGTAAGCCGTTGTTAATGTGATATCCATGCTGTACCTATGCTGATCAGGGGCTCTCACGGACTTGCATTCAATTCTGCATTTGAAAAGCGGGAAATTGAGGCCGTCGTGCACGTCAATGAAGTTAGGCAACATAAGCTTGAAAAGTTCGTGGTGCGTGTTTCACATGTCGTCGATTTGTTGGGATGTGCCCCCGTCCTGAAGTAAACCTCCGAAACAACAGGCGGCGCTTGTCGCAGTTCTCGTTGGGCTGTTTTGCTTCGTGACATATATGATGTATGCGTCTATGAAAATCTCAACGTCCAGAAATAAAGGGATGCATTTCACGATCCCAATCTTGTCCCCGTTCACATCAGTGGTGCGTGTTTCCCTCGATGGATCCCTGCCGCCGCGCCTGAGAAGGAGAGGGGTCCCAAGAAGAGCGTGGTTTGATCTGTGAAATCGTAGGTGGAACATGAAACTGGGGTCATTGGAACACGCGCCGTGACTATCTTTATCCTCGTACTCGGCATCGTGGCCTACGCCTCTATTCGACGGTGGATGCGGAGAACTTAGGTTTATGGTCTCATTGACTATGATAATGAAAGGCAAGGCTGGCACGAGCAAACCCCAGAAGACCGCCGGCGGAGGGGAAACTGGAGCACGTTCTGCTGCGGATGTGGCTGAACTGAATACAGCAGGTATCAGTTATAGGACCAACGCCCGATGTGCACGCTGGACGGGTCATGAGAGTCCAAGCCTATTTGTACTGCGCCTCCGCATGACCGGAGGAAGGTACAGTAGCTGGCGGGAATTACATAGCACTGGCATCGATAGGACAGCTGGCTCGAGTAAATGCGCAGCATTCAGGGCGATAACAGCTCTAGCGCTCTACAATGGTCCCTAGATTACCTTGCTATTGACGTGGAGAATATCTATGTATTTAGTGTCGGGCTCGCAGTCTCGAGAGTGTGAATAGGAGATTTGTAAAATTTGCCAAGTTTCGCTGGCACATACACAGCCCACCGGAGGACAAGCCCGTCGGATGGGACGAAAGGTCGACATCGAGGACAAATGATGAGAATGATGATCTAATCGAGTAAGCCGACCGAGGAAATGAACCGGCTCGGTCTATTTGGTCCTTCCCTCTCAGACGCTCTGGAGTGGGAATCGCCGCTCACACCACGCCTCAACTGTTCGTCACAGTGCCGTCCACTCCTTGTCTCTGCCCCTCCGTCCTCTTTCCCCTCCCCCTCCCCCTCGCTGTCCGCAGCTTCGACAGGCAGTCGGCTCAGTCGACAAGCCCCAAGCAGTCATGGCTGCTCAATACCCCCATTCCGGTTCCCCTACAGCCGACCCTAACGACCCCTTCGGCTCCTCTTCTGCCATTCCACGCAGATATTACAATGACACCGATTCCGACAATATTGACACTTACGGCCGGAGAGATACCTACGCCTCCGATAGCTCAGCCAATGGTCTCAACGATGGAGAGCGGTATTATGACCACAACGGTCAATATGACCCCTACGGTGGTGCGTTACAGTCTTGACCGTCCATTTCTCAATCCTTACATGCGTTCAATCAAGCCCAACCCGATACGGATTCAGACGTAGATGTCTATCCAAGAGGACATGCCCCCTCCGCAGAATCGTTAGGCCCTCGTATGGGAGGCATGTCGGAATCCAGTGCGACCGGGTACCATGACTCGTATGCTGGACCAACCGGGGCACGCGATGCGTACCCAGCTTGGACGCCCGAGCGTCAAATCCCTCTCTCAAAGGAGGAGATCGAGGACATCTTCCTCGACCTCACGCAGAAGTTCGGCTTCCAACGCGACTCCATGCGTAATATGGTAAGACAGTTTTTCCTATCTATTCATCTCGCGTGTCCGCTTATCGGGGTTATGTTCTTTAATGTAGTTCGATTTCTTGATGCAACTCCTCGACAGCCGAGCCTCGAGGATGTCACCCAATCAGGCCCTGCTCACTCTTCACGCGGACTACATCGGCGGAGAACATGCCAACTACCGGAAGTGGTACTTCGCTGCCCAGCTCGACTTAGATGACGCTATCGGACAAGCCCAAAACCCGGGACTCCAGCGTCTCCGGTCCACCAAGCGGAAGAACTCAACTCGGACCAGTGGGCAGAAGTCGTTGGCGACGGCCATGGAGAGATGGCGCCAGGCGATGAACAACATGAGCCAGTACGATCGGCTCCGGCAGATCGCGTTGTACCTATTGCTATGGGGCGAGGCGGCCCAAGTCCGCTTTGTGCCAGAGTGTCTGTGCTTCATCTTCAAGTGCGCGGACGACTATTACCGGTCGCCCGAGTGCCAGAACCGGGTTGAGCCCGTGCCTGAGGGCTTGTACCTTAGGGCAGTTGTGAAGCCTCTCTACCGCTTCATTCGTGATCAGGGTTACGAAGTCGTCGACGGGAGGTTTGTTCGGAGGGAACGGGACCACGCTGACATCATCGGCTATGATGATGTGAACCAGCTATTTTGGTATCCTGAGGGCATTGCGCGCATTACCCTTCAAGACAAGGTATTTTGTTTTCGTTTTTCCAGACTGTCTAACGGTTTGCTGAATATTACCATAGACGAGGTTGATTGATTTGCCACCACCCCAACGATGGATGAAGTTCGACCGCGTCGATTGGAATAGCGCGTTCTTTAAGACCTATTACGAGAAGCGTTCATTCGGTCACCTTCTGGTCAACTTCAACCGGATTTGGGTCATCCACATCTCCCTTTACTGGTTCTACACCGCATACAACTCGCCCAAGGTTTATCAGGTCTACCTCGCAAACGGCAACACGGTTAATCCTCCCGCTCTGACATGGTCTGCCACCGCTCTCGGCGGTGCAGTCGCCACCGTCATCATGATTGCTGCGACACTGGCCGAATTCTCGTATATACCAACCACCTGGAATAATACTTCACACCTTTCCCGTCGTTTGATTTTCCTCGGTATCACCCTTGCTCTCACGGTCGGCCCTACGTTCTACATTGCCATCGCCGAGGACACCAGCGGAGGCAACAGTGGTTCTCTAGCCCTCATCCTGGGTATCGTGCAGTTCTTCATTGCCGTCGTCGCCACCCTTCTGTTCTCCATCATGCCGTCTGGACGGATGTTCGGTGATCGTGTTGCTGGCAAGTCGCGCAAGTACCTGGCCAGCCAAACCTTTACCGCCAGTTACCCTGGTCTCTCTACCCAGGCTCGTTTAGCATCCATCCTCATGTGGGCTCTCATCTTCGGGTGCAAGGCTACGGAGTCGTACTGGTTCTTGACGCTCTCGTTCCGTGACCCAATTGCTGTCATGGTGACGATGACCATTCAAAACTGCAACGACAAGTACTTTGGCCCAAACCTTTGCTTGAATCAGGCACACTTCACGCTGGCAATCATGTATGTCATGGACCTCATCTTGTTCTTCCTCGACACATTCTTGTGGTACATCATCTGGAACACGGTATTCAGTATCGGTCGGTCGTTCATGCTTGGATTGTCGATCTGGACGCCCTGGAAGGATATTTACACCCGGCTACCCAAGCGCATTTACTCGAAGATTTTGGCATCGAAAGACATGGAGGTTAGATATAAGCCCAAGGTGCGTTTTTACCCAATATTCTTGCTGTAAACCCGTGCCAAATATTTCAAAGGTCCTGGTCTCGCAAGTCTGGAATGCTATAATCATCTCGATGTACCGCGAGCACTTGCTCTCCATCGAACATGTGCAGAAGCTCCTCTACCACCAGGTTGACACCGGACATGATGGCAAGCGCAGTCTTCGTGCCCCGCCGTTCTTCATCTCGCAGAGCGACAAGGGTTTCAAGGGCGATTTCTTCCCGCCTGGCAGCGAGGCTGAGCGTCGTATCTCATTCTTCGCGCAATCTCTCACCGTCAACCTCCCGGAGCCCCTGCCCGTCGATGCCATGCCCACATTCACGGTTTTGACTCCTCATTACAGCGAGAAGATCCTACTGTCGCTCCGTGAGATCATTCGCGAGGAAGACCAGAATACTCGTGTCACTCTTCTTGAGTACTTGAAGCAGCTTCATCCGGTCGAATGGGACAACTTCGTCAAGGATACCAAGATCCTCGCCGAGGAATCCGCCATGTTCAACGGCGGCAACAGCCCCTTCGCTGCCGATGAGAAGGCCCAGTCGAAGATGGACGATCTTCCGTTCTACTGCATTGGTTTCAAGAGCTCTGCACCCGAATTCACTCTGCGTACCCGTATTTGGGCTTCGCTTCGTGCCCAAACTCTGTACCGCACGGTCTCTGGTATGATGAACTACTCGAAGGCGATCAAGCTCCTCTACCGTGTCGAGAACCCCGAAGTTGTTCAGCAGTTCGGAGGCAACACCGACAGACTCGAGCGTGAGCTTGAGCGAATGGCTCGCCGCAAGTTCAAGTTCCTCGTTTCGATGCAGCGTTACTCCAAGTTCAGCAAGGAGGAGCACGAGAACGCCGAGTTTTTGCTCCGTGCATACCCCGACTTACAAATTGCTTATCTTGACGAGGAACCCCCGCGCAAGGCTGGTGGTGAAACGCGTCTGTTCTCTACGCTCATCGATGGTCACTCCGAGTTCATTCCCGAGACTGGTCGCCGTCGTCCCAAGTTCCGTATTGAGCTTCCTGGTAACCCCATTCTTGGTGACGGAAAGTCCGACAACCAGAACCACGCCATCGTCTTCTATCGCGGCGAGTACTTGCAGCTCATCGATGCCAACCAGGACAACTATCTCGAGGAATGTCTCAAGATTCGGAATATGCTAGGCGAATTCGAGGAGTACTCCGTTTCGTCCCAGAGTCCCTATGCGCAGTACGGTCACAAGGAGTTCCGCAAAGCACCCGTCGCCATTGTTGGTGCGCGCGAGTACATTTTCTCGGAGAACATCGGTATCCTCGGTGATCTCGCCGCCGGCAAGGAGCAGACGTTCGGTACCCTGTCCGCTCGTAACTGGGCGTGGATCGGTGGAAAGCTTCACTACGGTCACCCCGATTTCCTGAACGCGCTGTACATGAACACGCGCGGCGGTGTCTCCAAAGCGCAGAAGGGTCTCCATCTCAACGAAGATATTTACGCTGGTATGAACGCCTTTGGACGTGGTGCTCGTATCAAGCACACGGAGTATTTCCAGTGCGGCAAGGGTCGTGATCTCGGGTTCGGAACGATCCTCAACTTCCAGACGAAGATCGGTACGGGAATGGGCGAGCAGATGCTCAGTCGCGAGTACTACTACCTTGGCACGCAGCTCCCGATTGATCGGTTCTTGACGTTCTACTATGCCCATCCTGGGTTCCATATCAACAACATGCTCATCATCTTGGCCGTGCAGCTCTTCATCTTGTGCAGTAAGTGGTTGTCAATGCACTACCGATCGTTTATTGACTTTTTTTCTAGTGGTGTACCTGGGTACCCTGAACTCGTCGGTCACGATTTGTAGCTATGCATCGAACGGGAACCTCCTGCCTGGCATGGACGGATGCTACAACCTTGATCCCGTCTTCGACTGGATCCATCGTTGCATCATCAGTATTTTCTTGGTGTTCATCATCTCCTTCCTGCCGTTGTTCATTCAAGGTTCTTGTTCCCTTATTTTTATTCTCGAATTATGTTATTTACCTTTCATTGCAGAGTTGATTGAACGTGGAACTGCTCGCGCTGTCATCCGCTTGGGCAAACAGTTCCTGTCCCTCTCGCCCCTTTTCGAGGTTTTCTCCACGCAGATCTATACCCACTCCATCATCAGCAACTTGACGTTCGGTGGTGCTCGGTACATCGCTACGGGCCGTGGTTTCGCCACTACGCGCATCTCGTTCAGCATCCTGTTCTCCCGCTTCGCCGGTCCTAGTATCTACCTCGGTATGCGGACCCTGATCAGCTTGCTTTACGTGACTATGGCGTTCTGGACCCCGTATCTCATCTACTTCTGGTTCTCCATCCTCGCGCTTTGCGTCGCTCCTTTCGTCTTTAACCCCCACCAGTTCTCCTTCTCCGACTTCATTATTGACTACAGAGAATTCTTGCGATGGATGTGCCGCGGTAACTCGCGCTCGCATAACAACTCGTGGATCGGGTACTGTCGTCTCTCGCGGACGATGATCACCGGTATCAAGAAGAAGAAACTTGGTATGCCATCCGAGAAACTGTCCGGAGGAGACGTTCCTCGCGCAACTTGGCGTTCCGTGCTCGTTGCCGAGATTATTTCCCCCGTCGTCATGGCTGTTTTGTTCATTATAGCCTACATGTTCGTCAAGGCTTTCCCCGATAGCACTGGCAGACTTCCTCCCAGCCCGCTCATCCGCATCGCTGTGATCTCCCTCGGTCCCATCGTATGGAACGCGGCAGTGCTGTTGGTGCTGTTCCTCGTTTCTATCTTCCTTGGCCCCATGCTCGACCCCAAGTTCCCGATGTTTGGTTCAGTTATCGCCGCTATTGCCCACTTCTTGGGTCTTGTTGGCATGGTTGGCTTCTTCGAGTTCTTAGTGCGTAACAATTTTGTTTCCTCCAATTAAATCTCACTAATATCGTTGCAGTGGTTCCTTGAGTCATGGAACGCTTCGCACGCTGTCCTGGGTATCATTGCTGTCATCGCCATCCAGCGTGCCATCCACAAGATCCTGATCTCCGTATTCCTGTCGCGTGAATTCAAGCATGATGAGACCAACCGCGCCTGGTGGACTGGTCGGTGGTATGGAAGAGGCCTAGGCACACACGCCATGTCACAGCCGGGACGCGAGTTCATCGTCAAGGTCATCGAGCTTTCCCTGTGGAGCTCGGACTTGCTCATTGGGCACTTCCTCCTCTTCATGCTTACGCCCCCCACTCTACTCCCCTTCGTGGACAAGCTGCATGCTATGATGCTCTGTAAGTCGAAAATCTATCAGGGCTCAGCCGTGTTTACTAAACAATCCTTAGTCTGGCTGAGACCGTCGAAGCAAATTCGTGCTCCGCTGTATTCGCTCAAGCAGAAGAAGCAGCGTCGCTGGATTGTGCGTTTTTCTTCAGGTGTTATATAATATTTTTCCTTATACTTGCGTCAGATCGTGAAGTACGGCTCCGTGTACATCGCCGTCATCATCATCTTTGTCTGCCTCATTGCTCTGCGTATGTGTCACCCCTTCTAATTCGGTTAATACATTGACGCTGATATTTGTTTCATAGCCGCTGCTTTCCAGAATCGTATTCATTTCGAATGCACTATCTGCCAGAATCTCTAATCCGCCCCTCACCTACGTTATTAACCCGCACTCTCATAGACAGTCCGTAGTCAGCTGTATTTCCCTCCTTCCCTCGCCCCGCCTTGCAGCGGGACCCTTACAAGCTTGCGCTGGACCCTTTTACCACTATGGACAGGACAATTTCTTCTCACCACTACTCCTATATGTGTCCCGTCTCCTCGAGCCCACTGCACGGACGTCTAGTGTAATGTACGGATCACGACCATTTATGAAATTGGTAGAATAAAAGCTTGATTTTTCCCCTTATCTTACCAAGCATCGTTAGCCTTTTTCTTATGCAGTCCCAGTTTAGTCGAACTTGCCGCTCTCAAGATCTTTCTCTCTTTTTAGTTATGGAGGTGTTTAGTAGCTGTGATGTTTTGCTGATAATACAGGTGTTTATTTGGCCAGCAAGTGCCTGGTGCTGCCCAATTGTTATGTCCCCGCCGGGCGCGCGTATGATTCAGGAAGTAACCAAGTGCAAGGCGTGCCACTTGGGTTATTGGTGATGACTACTACTTCAGACCACTAGTAAGAGGACTTGATCAGGACCGTTCGTCATTTCACAGATAGATGTCCCATTCAATATTGACTGATGTTGAAATCTTAGAGTAGACGGGCAGGAACAAGCAAGCAAGCCTGGAGCCGGATGCAGAACCACGATAACCGAGAGTAACTTGAAATCATCAATGGCGAGTGATGCTACAGTCATCGACTCGGGTCAGAAAACCGCAGAGAACTTCCAGAGGTGGGCAACGGAGGAAGCCCGCCGATCTTTGTGAGGTCGGCCGATAGTATGGAGACTTCAAGTTCCGAGTCGGGAGGGAAATAGAGGGAAGCAGGAGGAAGTAGGAGACTGTAGTCGAGACAGAACCTCGGTTGACTTGACCTGAGCGTTCTCGGGCGGAGGTGGGGCCTCTAGAGTCTCGGTTTGAGCGGGCGCAGGAGCGCTTTTGTTGGCAGCGATCTTGAAGAACGCTTGCTAGTTCGCTGGCGCAGTGGCGCACTCTGGGCGCTCAGGCTGTCGCTGTCATTCTTTTTGTTTCTTTTTGTTGCTCGCTTTCATTGAAGCACTGTGCTATGTCATGTAAGACAGAAAGAAGATCGGCAATGGCAACATGATAGTCAGTTGACAAATACTTTACCTCTCCGGAAGCCGTAAACCCGGTTCACTGTGACCCTGCCGGTCATTCGCTACGATGATCACCACTTATATGACATTTCCTGCCCGGGCGACCATCCAAGAGAATCGATAGGCCCGTGTAGATCATTTTGGTAAACCATGACAGCAAACACCATGCTTTCCACTGTCTCTGGCAAGCCACGGGCCTTCTATTCGCTGGCGTCTCGTCACCCTTCGTCACCTTTCTCTCACAGAGAATTCAACCAGACTTCAACCGTTGATATGCCACCCTATGCCACCTCACTGAATGACACCGAACCATCATTAACTCTCATTCAAATCTGACCAAACTTAGTATGAGGCTACATACTGCTTGCATATAAAGCCTCGGTGACTGCGTCGGTTGGCCAACATCGCGGTCTCTCCTTCACCCATACGAGCGACTCCGGCGTTGAACATGATTCCTCTCTCGACTCTGACTGTCGCCGCTGTTCTCTGCGCGGCGAACGCGGTGAATGCGGTGAATGTCTTCGCGCATTTCATGGTGAGTGTTGCTCTGTTTATTATGTGCTTGGAACACTAACTCAAACGCGGTCGCCTCCGAACCTCTAGGCGCAGAACTCCTACTCCTACTCGCAAAGTGACTGGGCGAACGACATGACGACTGCCAAGAATATTGGCATCGATGGTTTTGGTATGTAACTTATGAAATAACTAAACCTGAGGTCGAAGCTCAACATCTGTCATACATGTAGCTCTGAACATTGCTGCGAATGACTACGAGATCAGCCCCCAGCTCGGGTACGCGTTCGCGGCTGCGGAGCAGGCTGACTTCAAGCTGTTCTACTCGTTTGACATGTCCTACTCGTGGGACGCCCCCACGATTGCCGGCATCATTGCAAACTACTCGACGAGCTCGGCCGCCTTCCGCTACGGCAGTGACAACAACCTTCTCGTGTCGACCTACTCGGGCGAGAACAATGGCGACTCGTTCTACTCGGGCCTGAAGAGCACGCTCTCGGGCCAGGGCATCAACATCACCCTCGCGCCCGCGTTCACGTCCTACCGCGATCCTTCGCAAGCCGATTCGCTGATGTCTACGTTCCCGTCTATCGATGGATTCTTCAACTGGTGGTCTTGGCCTGCCGATGTTAATGCCAACTTGACCACCGACACGGATACCGCGTATCAAGCTGCGGTCAAGTCTCGTGGTGGACCTTATATCATGGGTGAGAGCCTTTCTTGACGCGCTTAAATCTCGGGTTTTTGACTTCGTCCGTGACAGCTGTATCGCCGTGGCAGTTCAAGAACCTCGACAGCGGAGGAGACTGGGTCGAGTACAGCGACACTCTTTGGGACTACCGCTGGCAGCAAGCCTTGCAGGTCCAGCCTGACATTATCGAGATCGGTATGCTACCATTAATTGTAATAATTTCGTGCTGCATTCTGATGACATGCGAAGTGACCTGGAACGACTACGCCGAGTCGCACTATATTGGTGATATCAACCCCAACGTAAGTCGATGCCGGATTAAACAGGATAATTCGTTGCTCATCTTATCTTTGCCAGGTGGATCTCGGCACACAGGCGCCTCTCTACGTCGACGGCTTCGTCCACGCGGCCTGGCGTGATGTGGCCCAGTACTACATCTCATGGTTCAAGAGCGGCAACCAGCCCACCGTCTCCGTACGTGTCATTAATTCCTATGTCTCACTTCCGAGCGGTACTAACCCAGCCCGGTAGACCGAAGAGGTCGTCTACTGGTACCGCCCCTACCCCAAGGGTGTAACCTGCAGCACCGGCAGCCTCCCTCGCAACTCCGACTTCCCCGCAGACGCTGTCTTTGCGATGGCGATGCTCAGTTCGGAGGCGACCCTCACCCTCTCCATCGGCTCGCAGCAGACCAACTGGAGCGCGCCTGCCGGCCTCTCGATGGGTTATGTTCCGTTCCCGACCGAGGACGCGCAGGTCCCATACTTCGAGGTGAGCCGCAGCGGCTCTAAGGTGTTCGACGGGTACGGCTCGCTCTCTGTCAACCAGACGGGCTGCAGCTACTATAACTTCAACCCGATCGTTGGCAAGGTGCCTAACTAACTGTAATGCAATATCGACGTTTTGTGGAGCTTTTATGAATTACTTTCAATGATTCAGCCGTATGTACCATCTGTCTGGAAGTATGTAGATGATTGGTGTGCAATGTTATTCGTGATGACATGAGAAGTGGGTGTAGTGCTGGAATACTTTACATCACGGGAGCATTCCGAGAACACACTCAGACGGCAGAGATGCATGTGCGTGGCAGAGGGGGAGCCGTTGCCTGGCCCTTCGCAGAAATGCCTCGAGGGCGCTGGAACAGGCTAGAACCAAGAACACAAGAAGCAGCTTGAGATTAGAAACGTGCAAGAAATGATTAATGAAACATTGAACCCCGAAGTTTGGATCTGCCTAGAGCATGCTTACTAGTGGGCGCAAGGTACGGGAATCAGAAACGTGCAATCCCCCGTTCTTGCTCAGCCTAGATCCATGAAAAAAAAAACAAGGGTGGCAGCACTTGGTCAGCGCCGTGTCTGCACGCACAGAACCCAAGCTCAAAGGAAGTAACATATCAAAGGCGAGCGGGGCGATCACGGCGTTTGCTCTGAGCATTCGTGGTGACGCGCTGCAAGCTTCGGCCCGTTGATCAGAAGATGAAATCGGGCGATGCAATCGCTCATGGCGTTCCTTGCATTGACGCAGATTGACGCCAAGTCACGAATGGTAGCTCACGTTACAAAATCTAGACTCGACGCTGACAGCACGTCAGTATGCAAACCTTATAAGCGCATTAGCTTTAGCCTTTTGAAACGCAGCGGCCGAAATACACGGCCGCTGCACTTACGCAAGATTCAACCTTGTTTCAGGGAGGGCAGAGACATCCCCAAAACTGGAACACGCGAGCGAGGTTAGCGCCTGGGTGACGCAATACGGGGCCAGGGTAAGAGACCGAAGCGGCCGACGACATGTAAGCGCGTGAGCGGATTCCGTGTGAAGCTGAAGTGGGTGGTGGCTCATCAGATCCGTTTCTAGTCGCCGAAGCCGTCAAAGGCTGGCGGACAGGAGTCAGTCGCAAGGCCCGTATGCATCATGAGCCTGTGTCCACATGAAAATGAGCAACATTACGAAGAAAACAGAATCATGAAAGCACAGCAAAGATAGAATGTTGGCGACAATTGGGGCTGAGCGCTAGCGCTGATCCCTCAAAGCGTGTTCCACCATCTCACGCCGCAAACGCTAGGAGAAAGATCGTTGTAACTTTCCCAAAGTTACGAGCAGAGCAGGCACACAAGTTGAGTTCGCACGTTCTTGCGGAGAAAGGTTTAAGGCAGACAGACCGTAAACCGCAAAGCAAAAAAATGAGTGATCGCCGCATAAGTTTGGGGTTGTCACCGTCCTATATCCCGCTGGTACAAGGGTTTCCACATATGTTACGGATCTTCCAGTGAGCGAGAACGGAACTGGAAAGATCCGAGGACATTTGAACTCGCCGCAAGTGCTGCCCCTCAGGCCGGTAGCGGGCCAAGGGACCGTTGACAACCGCACTCCACCCTTACTTAAAGGATTTCATGGTTGTAAGGTTACTTTCCCGGAGGCGAGGAAGCTGCACAGGTGCGCCAGCAAGCGGGCGCTCCTCGACAAATGAGCCAACAGCTTGGTTAAGATAAAATTGCGTTTTTCACCCGATGCTGATTTCTCCACATGACATCAAATGACCCTCGCAGTGGTGAATTTGATCCTGAGCCCTTGCAGTCATTGCAAACAGGGTCAATGCTTGATACGATGCACGTTGCAGATGCCGGAATCTCTGCGGGTCGAGCAACGGTGCGTGCAATGGATTTGCGACGGCTGATTGGAGAGAACAGAAGCCGGATTGCAAGAATCCCGGTTAATTATTTTGGAACGAGTGGACATCGCGCTCAAGGGCGGACATTCGGCGAGAAATCCGGTCGTAGTTATAGCGTGATAGTGTCAAATGCAGCGCTCCGCTCGAAACCGCCGAATCGGACATGACTCGTTAACCGCCGCGGTACATTCGAAGAACTTCGAAAACGAGGAAAGCGGGGAATAAGGCGTCCGAGGATTTCTGCCCTCCATACCCGCAGAAGTAACTTTCCGCAAGTCAATCCGACTCACTGAGACTGTGCCGAGAAACCCGCTATTGGGGATGTTTGTACAAGACTGTCGGCTAGCTGAGAGAGCCAATACGTGGAGCATTACTCTAGACAGAGCCACGATGCAGTCCATCTAGCGACTAGTGGTGATGTTGATCATGCCCTTAGGGTCACCTGTCTTTGAGCCAACAATAATTCTTGGAGCGAACGTGAGCAAACCTATGCTTCGGCCCGCATATAGTGGCGCATATAGCCACTAGAATAGTTCATGAAGTGACAGGACTTGCGGGGAGAAACAAAGCTAGGTTTGACCGGATATGTAGTGTCCCTTCGTCGGTGGGCGCATTACGAAATATTATCCATCGGCGAAGAAGGATCCTCGTATCGGTATCAGATCTAGAGATGTCGGGGTTTGAGATACAATGGCTCCCGTGGGACCCGTACGTAAGTTTGGGGAAATAACGTTCAATGTTTTCCTTCTTGAACGCAAATGGATCGATCACAAATGCAGGCGAGAAAACACGAGGCGACTCAGGCGAGAGTTCGGGTAGTTTCAGAGAAGCAGAACCTTCCAATGGGAAGGCTGGCGACAATAAAAGATGGGTGATAACCATATCAGCTGAGTGTAATGAACAAACGGATCGATGACCCAACACAGTCTGTTGATGAGAACGCGTGGCTCGTCCGGCGACCGATCTGGACATGAGGATGCCTGAGGAGGAGCGGAGTGGGAGATAGCGAGTGTCAAGAGTGATGGCCGTGATATAAGTTTACGCATGCTCGGAGCGCCCAAGTGGGAGGGGGGAGATCTGGTGCGACGTTGCCTCTGTTCTGGCCGACGTTAGCTGCCAATGTACATGGAGGGAGGCTGGGAGGAGCCAGAAAGTGGCGTGACGGCTAATAAAGAGCTATCCGGAGGGTGACAATGAGCTGTTATATGCATGACGTCTAGAACGACGGGACCTTGGCGAGATCCTGCTTCGCACGTTGCCGAGCGGAATCGGAATGTGATGTCTGCGGGAAGGAAAGCGAATAACCAAAGACGAAATCTTCCGAGAGTTGAGCTGTGCGACCACGTAAGATGCATCATCCGGCCCTGCATGGCATACAATCGCCGAGGACGAGCACGGATGCATGGATGCAGATGACTGGCCGTGCTATTTGGCCGTTGGTGTGCAAAATAGTGAACGAGAGCTTGCAAAGAGTCTCGTCGGCATGAACTCGGCACGTGGCGGGGCCAAGTTGGTGGGCCGTTATTATCTTCTGAGCAGGGCGCGCCAAAGCACCGGCGCGCGGACGCGACGGTGTACAGGGCGTCGTCGTAAATAACACCCTGGATGGGTCACCGCGGATGGACCCGCGTCTGACGGCCAGTGAACTCGAGCGAACGCATCCAGCGCGTTTGCTGTATGTTCGTAACTCTGACAGCAAACCTGGCGGGATGCGGGCCTACACTAAAGCGCTAATATATGGCCAAGAGACTCCGCTCGCTGAGTTTTGGTCAGACTCACTCCTTGTTTGGCTTGCTAATTTTGAAGATCGGCTTGCCCTCCTTCTCGCCTTATAGGCTCTGCTCTACCCGTCTCCTTCGTCCCCCGAGTCTCCCCCTCCAGCTCGATACTCGCCCTCTCTCTCACCTTCCTCTCCCCCGCCCCACTTGACAGGCAACTCAGGGTCACCGCGTTGGTCATCTCCATCTCGCCCCCAACCGATATACTTCCGCCTCAAGATGGACCCATACTCTACGCATCCTGCTCGTAGACCCATCCTCTCCGCGATCAACAAGCCCATTCACTTCGCAGAAGGCCAATTCGCGGGTAACGTCGTTCGTGCTGAAGTACGCGAGATACAAAAGGCCGAAGTGGGCAGAAAGTCAGCACAGAGCCCCATCTCACCTCCCCTCTCCCCCCGCATCCACCCTGCTTCTCTTCTTGCTGTGCTCACGTCTTCTCTCCAACCAGATATGCTCGCGTTGACCGTCGGCCGCTGGACCCGCCTCCCTCCGTCCAACTCAAACTCTTCTACGTCTTCCACCAAGGCACCGAACATGAGTACGAGCGCGAAGTCGATGACTACCGGTGCGTTCTTCCCTTGTCTGTCAATTTTTGCAATACGTCCGAGCCAAATGCCTGGTGATACTTTTCTTTCCAACATGCCAACACAATCCACTCCTTTCATTCACACCTTAACTTCTCTCTCCCTCTCGCTTCAATTATGTTGTTGACGGCGCTTATTAACATGGATATCGGGGCGCCATACAGTCAGATATCTAACCTGGGCCTCCTCTGCAACGTGGACCTTTTCCCAGTGCCAAGCACATATGTGCCTACAGAAAACGACTCCTCTGTTCCGAGGCCCGCTTCTCCCCCGTCCGCGCCGATGTCATCCCATGGCGGCCCGAGCACGAGCCAGCATGCCTATGTCCCACCACCTCCACCACCACTTGGCCAGCCCTCACATCCTGTTGGCCTCTTCCACCCGCCGCACCCAAATACACTCGCGCAACCTGCGTTACCCCCTCTGACCGTCCCAGATCGACCCCTCGCAGGATCCAGCATGCCCCCAGTTCCCGCGCTCAACGTTCCATCAAATACCTACCCCCAGGCTCCAGGCCAACAACAGCGTGAACCTTTGCCCGAAGTGATCGCATATTTGGGCCCACACCTGATCACGGAACCGATGAAGTGCACCCACGCACTGTCGGGCACGACATTCGTACAGCCAGTGCTGATGGAGCTTGAGGGGAAACCATCTCTCGTGTTCGCGTTTTCGGTGCGTATTACCGGCGTATCATGATTTGATTCCTTGATTCCTTATGCCTTGCTGTGCCGTCACAGGATCTCGCCGTTAAATCGGAGGGCGTGTTCTTCCTGCGATATCGATATTTTGATCTCTTTGGGCGCGCGTCTGCCTATGACGATCTGCCTGTGCAAGCTGAATGCTTTGGTGGTCTGTTTCGGGTCTACTCCACCAAGGAATTTCCCGGTCTACCCCTTTCCACCGAACTCACCAAGGTCTGTCCTATTTGTTTGCATGGAACAGACAATCGCTGATGCTCCACTCTTTGCTAAAAGAGCCTAGCCAAGGTCGGCGTGAAAGCGAACCTGCGAACGAAGCCCCGCAAGCGCGTTTCAGGGTCCAGTGCGCGCAGTGCCAAAACGCGCGAAGGTCATGCACGAGATGCCCACGATCGATATACGCGCAGCTCGAGTTATGGCACCGGTAGTAGTGCTGGACGCCAGGAGAGTGAAGTAGGCAGCGACAGTGAATGAGCGGCCTTCAGGGCATCGCGATAACTTCCTCTACATGGAGCCGTGCACGCTGAGCTTTTGCCTTGGGCCCATTTTAACGTTTTACCATAATAGCCCATCACTCGAGGGTTGCAACGTTGGATCTTTCACCCACCTGATTCGCCCTTCATCGATCATTGACCTCTCGACGAACTTCACACCCGGAAATTCGGCATATTCATTTCAGCATCTCATTTCCAGCATCGACCCGTGCATTGCCCAATTATGCTCCAGCTTCTCTCATATGCAATAGCACTCCCCGGCTTAGAGGTTGGACGTTAGTGTTGTGCGAGGTAGTACCTAATCGTGGATGTCGTGTCGCAACTTGCACATAGTGTATTTTTTACGCGCGCATATATGCATACTCACTTACTGCATACCACCCGAGTATTGTATCTTGTCTGTGGACTGTATACCTATTCTACTACCAATTGCCTGTGGCCTCGAGGTCCGTTCTCGAGCTCGAGTTCGGGCTAAGTTAGTAGCCCGGTCAAGTGCACTCGCTGGGTGTGTCGGGTGGCAGCTACAGCCATGACCAGCTGCATGACCAGCTTCTTGATTCCCATCTCATGTTCTACTTGCTTCAATATGGCTGAGGGATGCATGCGAACGATGAGCCAGCTTCGTTTGGCCCATTCGCTGTGCGAACATCCATGTTTTTCACTACCCTCTTTCATTTGTTCACATGTCCTCTTCTTCGGTTTGGAGCAGCGTTCTCACTGTGTCTTCAGCATCCTGTTTAGGACCTCTCCTCTTCACTCGGAGATCTTCAGAGCTCTCATAGGTGAACTGAGTGACATTACTTTGTCAAGGCGCGCGTATCTGGAGATGCTAACGAGGTTGAATCCACTCCCTACTCTCCAACCTTGACTACCCACTCCGAGCCCTTCCTTTGGAAATCCTCCAAAGTGTCTCGTGTCAATTGTTCCATGGTCCTCCATTCTATGCCGAGGAACTCGTGCGCCGTCCTAGAGTCTATCGTGTTCTTCCCCTTCTTGACCCCTCCAGGCACCCCTTTGGCCAGACTGCCTTGGTATGGCTGCGGCGTCAAACTATTTGCCGTATCAACTAGGTAAACACACGCCTTCGTGTCAGCGACAGGGCCGGTAGCATGAAACGAAAAAAGGCACGCACAGAAGTCCTGCCAGACGTGAGGCGAACCCGCAGAAACGATGATGCGCTTCCCTCCCGCAGCGGGCCTCTCGAGCGCACGGACGTGCGCCTCTGCGCAATCTCGCACGTCGACCCAGCCGCCTCCGGGGGCGACGAGCGGATCGGTCGAGCCGAGTGCTACGATCTCTCCTTTGACTATTGCATCGAACCAATATTTCGCGGAGGAGTTGAGCGCACTGGGCTTGTCGGCCTCCTGGATGGATGGCTGTACCAATGTGAGTTGCACGTCTAAACCGGTCGTGGAAGGGAGAAAGGAGTCTTCAGACGTACGCCGTACACCCAAGGCGGGTTGAGGACGGTGATGTCCCAGCCTATCTCGCTTTTGTGTTTTTCGACAAAGTCCCATGCCGCTGTTCAGGTCGTTCAGGTACAGACTGATGAGAATGCCTAGGCTTTCATTGATCCGCAAAACCCACCTCGCTCGGCCTTCACTTTCGATGCACAGTATTTCGCCATCGGAGTTGCGTTCTCCGCCTTTTGCTCGCATTCGGTCACGGCACTCTCGTTCCAGTCTTTCTCAGTGTATGTGACAGAGTCGTCGCAATGATACATGACGGCAGCCATGGATGATGTTATCACAATGCGCTTCAAAGATGTGCTGTAGATACCAGTGAGGATCAACTAATACTCACAATCCCTAGACCTTACGAGCATGTAGGACGTACCCATGCTTCAGTGCGCTATGCATGATCCCAGTCACGCCTCCAACAGCCGGTGTAATGATCTCTGCGGGCAAAACCGAGCACAACTCAGTTGCAAGTTCCTTGCATAACATAGGGGCAATACACACCATCAGGATGACCAGTGATCGCAACCGCAGGCGACGCCGTGTGCACGATCCCTTCAATGCCCTTCACAGCCTCGTCAAACGCGCCATCCTGGGTCGAACAGCACCTCATCAGTCAGCGTCGATCTCAAATAATACACAGCGCGTCGCTCACCTTCATGATATCTGGTACGATCGCGAGCTTCAGCCGGTCGCCATACGTGCTAAAGTAGCTCAGCAGATGCTGGCCGCGCTGCTCAGAGCGAACCGCGGCACGGACGGAGTAGCCGCGCTCGAGCAAGATTCGAACGGTCCATACACCGATGTAGCCGTTCGCGCCGGTGACGAGGATGGTGGATTTGCCTGGTACTTCTGGCATCTTCGTTCAAAATAAGCAGTCTGGGTACCGAGAGGATAGAGGGGCCAATAAGGGGTGGAAAGGTGCCCTTTTACTACCGAACATGTCGGGCAAACTCTTGTGGCCGTTGATCTCTCCATATGCTTCGGCAACCCCTTTGGGCTTTGATAAGAGACATTTTCTACATTGGTACACAAGCACCGCAGCAAGCAAAAGGAAAATATGCGGTAGATGCATCAAATATAAATACATCCTTGAGCTTGTCATTGCAGTCGCAAAAGGTGCAAAGATGGTGTAAACTCGATTTGCTCAGAGCCCCTGTTTTTACACATCTGATTTTTCAGGTGGGACATACTTGTAAGTGGTTACCAGTGCAAACATGAATGGTCAACCGGTCATAGTCGGTCCCGGGCCAGCCACTCAAAAATGTCGACCTCTACGGGCACAATATTAATGTTGTTCATAGGACGACACAGAGGCGTCTAGCAGAAGAAGCCGACTCCAGTTATAAAATCAATCACTTGCAAGTAATTCCGTGTATTTTGCGTGTATTTTCCCGCTCTTTTACTTGTTTACTTGACAGCATCTTTGTCACCAATCCCTAATATATATGCTAGGAAACTGTCAGTGAACTTCGAGCAACCAGTATTTCACGGGAATGCCCTGGGCAGTCTCATCATTGTGCTCATGGAAGACTATTTACGTGATTGATGTGAATGGACTTGAATTATGGTGTTGTGTATTCTACGGCCTGTAGTACTTACTGTGTGGACACTACGTGTCGCTCAATAACCTGACAAACTCAAACTCTACCCAGGCGTTGTCTCCTTTCTTATGGTCAATCCTCCCACTTTCTGTCAAAGTTGCCAAGCGTTCTGGAATTGGTAAGTCGTATTGTTCAACTCGAGCACCTTCGTACCCGTCGCGCAGCAGCACAACACTGGGTAGGTAATAACACTTGCCGCCCGGAGCAATCGCCACGCTTGCGCCATCTTTCACGGCCTTACGAACATGCAAAGGTATGCGCGCCAGATTGAAGCGCACAGCAAACCGACAGTCCCAAAGCACCTCGATGTTTTCTTTCCCTTCAGCTTTCAAAGAGCCCTGCAGGGCGTGGTTCAGCTCCTCCGCGATAAGAGTCACATCATGTCCACGGTATGCAGGCAGGCGAGTAGCGAGCCATGCGGTAGTATCCTTTGAGTCAAGCGCTCTGCGGGCAGCAATGGCACCAAGGAGAAGGTATCCGTGGGGTCGTAGCACTGCACGTCGCCAGAACACGCCGCTGCCCACGCTAAACGCGTCGGGTATAGAATCTAGTTGCGTTTCCTGAGAGGTTTTACTTTGAGGGAATGTTCGAGCTGACGTATCCATCGGTGGAGGCATTGACTTAGATCTAAGCGGGGGTGAATTTCGGAACGAAGAACTAGATGTTGCTCGACCCTTAGACAGGTTACTAGGCCATGGCGCCCAGAGAGCAGTGACAAGGCGGTTGATACTGTCCTGGCGTCGGTTGGCGTCAGAACGTATAGAGCCCCAAGGTTGAAAAGACGCGTAGCGCAATACGCGAAGGGCAATGGAGTGGCGAACGAGTGGGTCTTGAACTGCACCAAGGCCGTTACAGGAGAGTAGTAGTGTGCCCGGCGGGCTTGGGAGTATTGCTGATGCCAGGACTGCGCTCACTGCACGAACGGTGTATAAATAAACTCGTAAATAATTGGCCATTGGAAAAAGACCCGTGAGCTCGCATTCAAACGAGATGCTGACCTTGCTCGTTCACGTCACTAACTGTCATTGACGCTTCCCGAATACGACTCCGGATATGCTCGACTCCTCCAGACATGTCGATGACACCTTCGACTTTGGCCAGCTGGTCTTGAATGTCTTTCGGCAGCTGGAAATTTGAGACAGTACATGAGTAGACGTTTAACAGGTTCGAAGGAGGTCAACACACTTCTACGTCTCCCATCTGTCCGTTGTTATGCATAAGGTGACGGATAGCATTGCGTAAGCATATCGAGGGTTGGAAGTTGGTAGGATCATCAATATATTCGAGCCCGTTGGCTTCGCACGTTGCAAGGATCCTATCCTATACCAGAGTTAGGCTCAGACGGGCGCATATACACAGAATAAATGAGATGTACCTTGCGCACTTCCAAAAGTGGTCTACTCATCCACCTCCTCATCCCTTCGGCCCCGACGAACGCAAGGCGCCCATTTTTTGTGTCGCCACCCATCCCCCATCTCCTAACAGGGCGCATACCACCCTCACCAAGCTTCGTTGTCCCTCGTGCAAGGCGCATCAGGCCCGTCTCCACCTGGTCATCCCCATGGTGGGCCATGGCGAGTACAGTCGAACCATGGTTTGTCATCTCGTCGAACATGAGTCGATAACGCGCCTCGCGAGCAATATTCTCAATTCTCTGGCCAGGTGAGGGCATTCTCGGATATGGCGCTTCACCCCAGGGTATGCGGAGTGTGCGGTGCGGTACGCCAAGGTGGGCAGCATTTGTTGCAGCGCGTTCGGCCATTGCAGCAGAGGTGGGTTGAAGGGCGTGGTCGACTGTGACGGAAAGAAGGGAGGGAGGGAGAGGGACGCGAGCGCGAAGGACAGAGTCCTCGTCCGTGAGGAGGCGGTGGAGGAGGAAGAGAAGACATGTCGAGTCGGAACCGCCTGAGTTAGCTACGACTAGAGGGAATAATGAGCTAAGCTTCAGTTCAACTGGGTCTGAAAGCTGGCGAAAGAGAAATACGTGCCAAGTGGGGAATGGGACCAGCCAGCCGACGGCCTAGTCATCATGAACATCCGTAAGAATTCATTTTTAGTGATTGGACGCAGCGCGGAGGTCATTCAGTTGTGTGTGTTTGCGGAAGAGCGAGATGCTAGACCGTCTATTGGCGGTTTGGTTTGTAAAGAGAAAGAAGAAGACGCGTCTGAGTACGCGCACGCGCGCACATTCTCATCAAACACCACCTAGAAACAACTCCTTGCTATCATAGTCAAACAAAGGCAACACAGCTTAGGACTCGAATTCGAATGCGTGGTTATTGGGTATGTACATGTGTAGTATGGTGTATGTGCGGTATGCATGTCGATGATGCCATGGGGAAATGCTACAGAGTTGGAATCAACTAAAGTGATGAAAATGATAAACTAATCGAAGGATATGTGACTGAAATCAAGAATTACTAGATGGAGTGTAAGATAAAACCAATGCACCCGAAAAAGCGGGACTGAAAGCGAAGAAGACCAGGTTGAATGAAATGGGAAGGATATCTACATGGTTACCACTAGATTGCACTTTTGCATCGGGGGCAGACAAGTGCTGGCCATTGCGTTCCAGCCTCCTTCGTATGGCTAAAGTTCTTCACAGTGGCAGCTTCGACATCAACAAAATCCCGCCAATTTGCTGGGACAGGCTTGTCTTCAAAAACAGCAGCGTACACCAGTTCACGTGCTTTGGCAACATCACGAACATTCCCTGTGACCCCAAAGCTGCGACCGCGAACAATCGGCTGGGAAGCAGCCTCGATCAAATCTGCATCGCAGAACTGACGAGGATTAGGGAGTGCAGGGGTACGAGATGCAGCGGCTTTCTTTGTTTTACCCATGCTTTTGGACCTACGCTTCGACCTCGGTGTGGCCACATGATCTCCGTTTGTCAGATCATCCAACGTTACCTCTGTAGACTCGGCTTCGGCAATGTCTTTTACGTCGTTATCACAGGGCCAATTCGAGAGGAGCTTTGCACGCCGTTTTGAGTCGTGCTGATCCTCGGTGGGTGCAAGGTGTTCTAAGCCATCCGCCAAGAGACAGTTTTCATGATACCAAGAGCGACAGCCCGGGCGTGGACAAAAGTGCATAACAACATCGCGCCCAGGGATGTAGGGGTGGTTGCATATGCATGTGACGGTCTTGTCCTGGGGAGGCTGGACATTCTGTTAAGCCTTCCATGATGTGACAACACTAGCTTCAACATACCACAAATTTTCTTGACCTAGTTTGGAGGGTATAGCGATAGTACCAAGTTCCGGCCTTTGACGAGATCGGTGCTTCTTGCAGGCTGCCTTCGTTGAGTTTTACCACATGAGCATGATCTGGTATCAACGTCAACAGAGGCGAGGCAAGGTAAATAGATATGACTGACCACTAAAGCAATCAGTGTGGACCAGATCGTATGTTAAACTGAGGACGCGTTCTCGTCTACCAAGATATGCAATATCACTAAGCATTGATGCATCAGCTCTCCTTGACAAACAGCCGTCCCATGCCAGCGACAGGACATACAAAGAATTGATACGGTGTTGCTCCACTTCCTCAGCAGAGAAAAACCATTGAACCTGCGCCCAGACCTATTCAATTGCAATTTAAGCTTGGTAACCCCTATCTGTCTTGGTCCGGGACCTTACGTCGGTGCCGTCTTTAGAACCCGAACGAATTTCTCTTATTTGAGCGAGCCACAGCTGCTCGAATGCATACGGTGTGTCTCGAGGTTCAACATCATCTGGTAGTATCCAAGCGCTGTAAGATCGGAACAGCTTTAAATCAGTATCCAACAAAATACAACATAATATCAGGCGATATTCACTAGTCGCCTTTTCTGAAGGTGATGAACTCATCCGGATCACTGGAGTCTGGGACTATGCAAAGATCAATAGAAAGTATAACACCGAGGAAAGTGTATTATACACACCTCGGAAGTGGCCTTGCTCCACCATGGTATGCCACTTCGCAGAGCTGGGTGTGCCGTATGCCTCAGCGGCCAACCGAGCCTTCTTGTTAACACTAGTGCTTTTCTGATGAGTTAATCGAGCGCGTTTTCTCGCCATGGTGACGGGAAAATGTCAAAACGAGACGGCAGATGAAATGTGAGAAGGCCTAAACAGTGTCGCCAGTGTCGCTCGCGGTGTCGCGTCGCGTCAGGTCGCGTCGTTATCGCGGAGCTCAAGTCTGATGACACGAATCGACGCGTCGTAATTTCCCCGATTACGCGGTCAGTAGTTACGGGGTGAATTCGCGAAAACACGATAGACCTTGCTGTATGGTGCAATACTGATGACTGAAGAGCGTCGATGGGTGACGATTAATACTGGAGATGTTGGTGGTCTGGTATAAAGGTGCTATTCCGTGTATGGGTGTATTTGGCAGGAACTGTCAAGTTGACGCACGCCGCGCAACACAAACAAGTTTAGGTTCGTCTGGAACTAACATCAGCAGAGTGTTGAAACGTTGAAGGTTTAATATCCTCAGGTATCGTCAGTTCCAAGGCGCCGAGGCGAAACACAGCCTTCTTAAGTGACACTGCTATTTAACACCAAGAAATCAACCATCGCGAGGCTCGATTGAGGTCACTGGCCCCAAGCACTGCTGGTGTCAGTACTTGCGCATACAGTGCAGGCTGCTTTCTTGAACATGTCTCAACCTCATTCCACCACACCGGGACTTTGAGAGCAGCTATTCATAGGTGGTTCTATCACTACTTTTCATTCCTCGTCAAATGCGATATCCGTGCGCCTTTTCCTTGGTGGCACCGCGACTTAATGTTCCATTCAGAATCATGTTTCTCACTACTTTGTGTCCGAAATAGAGCGCCAAAGTCATGAGACCAAGCGCGCTCCGAGGCCCTGTCGACATTTTCTCCGCAATTGAGTGGCTCAAGGTGCTCGTGTCCGGACGGCCCGCTTGTTCTCTCGTTTTAGCCCCCGTGATCAACGTCATGGGCAGCTCAACCTCGTCGATAAAAAGCGGTCAGTGACAGGTCATTCTACATCGTATCCGGACCACACCTCTCATAGGAGGCAACGATGCAAGCTCTTCTGTATCTTGTCGGATCCTTGTTGTCCGCGGTTCTCGTCGCGTCTGGATCTCAGTACGCGAGTACTTGTAACCTGAGTCCTCTAGGTGCTGGTCAAGATGATACAGATCAGGTTGGCATATATCTGGACGCGTTTTGTTAAAATTGACTGACTGACATCATTATTTTAAGGTCATGGCAGCCATCGAGCAGTGCGGCGACGGAGGTCTGACCGTGTTCGAGGAGGGCGAGTATAACATCACCAGGTAACAATCTCCACGAATGTATCCGCTTCTTTAGCGCTCTCGGTGCTTATATACGGACTTTGCTCAGAAAGATGACATGGAATCTCACCTCTTCGCGCGTCGAGTTGCACGGATATCTGAGCGTAAGCAAAGATGACTCGAGGCATGCTCAGAGCGGGCCGCGCTGATTACACTTTCAATAGTTCCAGCCCGATTACGAGTATTGGCTTCAGAACAGCAGCACTTACCGAGTCGTCTACATTCAGGTGAGCGCTTCCTGTGCCTGCCATCAATGTTTTGCCTTCGTGAGAGCGAATGAAACTTTAACGCTGCCTCTTTTCCTTTCGCTTGCTAGTCTCAAGCGTCTTGGTTCATCGTTACCGGATCAGACTTCGAAATCGACGCATACAACACCGGCGGCATAAACGGAAACGGGCAGGTATGTCCAGTTACCGCGTTTTACCTGCCCGTTCTCGCTCATCTGGGGCTTACGAACAATGTAGCCGTGGTGGGACTACTTCACCACAGTCCCAAGGCTCGACGGAGATGGCAGGCCTCTCGCGCTCACGGTCTATCAGGCTACCCGCGGCACAATCTCCAATTTCCTCATCGAGGCGCCGCCGTTCTGGTGTAACTGCGTCGCGGAGTCGAGCGACATCGTCTATGATGGCATGCTGTGCAATGCGACGAACACGAACCCGGAGTTCTATGGCCAAAAGTACGTCGCGCTCCCTCGCCCCAAGATTGCGCGTGGAACCGGATACTAACTGAGGCTATAACCGCCCTTAATTGCGACAGCATCGTTCCTAACACTGATGGTAATGTCTTCTATGATGGTTATATTTTTGGATGACCGTTCGTACTGATGCAGCGGATGCAATATTCTCAGGGATCGACACCTATAGGGTTGATAATTTAGTTTTGCGGAACTTCGACGTGGGCTAGTCTCGTTCGCTCTCGTTGAGCGTGTATTCTGATACGGTTTTCTCATTCTAAGATTACGACTGGTGATGACTGCATTGCCGTGAAGGGCGTAGGTGCAAACTTGTCCGACACCGTTCGTTTATTGATAGCCTGCGGGTAAATGTAGAACACGACGAATATGCTGGCTAGCAACATTACGTGTCGTGGCGGAAACGGTATTGCCTATGGCTCGCTGGGGCAGTACGTCGACTTGGTAGGTTGCCTGCACACCAGTGTAGTAGTCGTTGACCGGTCCGCAGCCAGATTACGTAGAGAATGTCACAATGACAGACCTACACGCAAGTCATTCGTCTGTGCTTCAATCAATGACGCTGATGTTGTTCCTCGTCAGGTTTTACGCATCAATCCTGAGATCCAGCCAAACATGGGAAGCGGGGTGGGTGAACTTTTCTCTCGCCATCGCAGTATGCAAAGGAACTTATCAGTGGATACGTCTCAGGTTTACTTCAAATCTTGGGATGGCACAGTCAACGGATCGCCTCCTGATAATGGAGGTGGAGGTCTAGGTAAGTTTGGAACCAACCAAGGCGGTGGACAAATTCAAGCGTGGGCGCTTGCGAATTCTGATACTGAGTACTGATTGCTGCAGGTTATGTCAAGAATGTGGTTATTCGTGATGCTTTCCTGGATAACGTCACTACACCCATTGCTTTGTACCAGACAAACGGGGCGCAATCGTGAGTGGATCTCAGTACTTGTCGAAAATCTTATATTGAAGCTACATGATGGCGGCAGGGGCGATGCCCCGTCAAAGTATCAATTTGCGAACTTGACGCTCTTGAGCTTCACGGGGACGTATCAAAAGAACCCCCGTAAGTGATGCAAGTGGTCCCACCGCACTTCTTTGGGTTAAATGGCTTTTGAAGTTGTCGATATCGCATGCAGCCCCGCTGCGCCGTGTCCGGATCTCACCTTCGAGAACATTAACGTTACACTGCTTTCGGGTGGAACACCGGCGTACGAGTGCGAAAACGTACTAAGCCAGACAGGTCTCCCGGGTAGGTCTACAAACAGGTTACCTTGTGCTACGCCGCTGATGAGATGTCCACATCCGTTCGGATGTTAGTAACCTGCAATTCCACGGTCAGCAGTAGCTGATGCGGGGCGAGGCAGTCCAATCCTGTCCGCATCCCAGATGTTGATGGCGGCGGAATACACCCGGAAACTTCTCGAGAAGCTGACCTGGATGCGGACTTGATCGGTTCAGTGTTAATATTTAACACCTTTTAAATCAAAGATGGTTTATCACGAATTGGCACGATCGTGGGCATCGTAATGTGCTCTCGAAGCTGAAGAAAAGAGAAGAACTCCTTGTTGTTGCATAGGCGAATTGGTGATGATTGATTGATTGAGGTACATACAATGAGATGAGTCATGAAGCTTGAAGTCCGGGCTGATGAATGGCGGGTCTCGGGCCATCTCAAAGCCATACGGGCTGTGCATACAGTGTTTCTCGCAGATGGTGGTCCTCGAAGTGATGGCCATGAAGGCAGGACTTGTTCATCCGGTGCTGCGCCATGCATCTGTCAGTTGACAGCACCGCGCGGCACTTCCCTGGGGTGCCTGGTACCATTCGGCCGCCAGTAATAAGCCGAACCCCGAGACTCGCATGTTTCGTATTCTGAGGATGTTGTAGCAGGACAATGTATGTTCGCAATATGGATGCTGAAAGGTGGGAGAATCTCGGGAGGGCACTACGGACGGCAAAGGGGGTGGGATAGGAGGCGCGGCAACCGGGGAAGAGACAAAGAGAGTTCTGGATCTGAGATCGATCCAGTAGCAGGTCGCGTGGGAAGACGACAGAGTTGTGTGCCGTGGAGATGAACGAAAGAGGACGCGTCTAAAAGAGCGACGATGGCAAGGAAACGGACCAGAGACCGCCTGCGATTTCAGTCGCCCCAGAGTCAAAAGTGCTCTCTCGTCTCTACCTCCACCACCACCCGGAGACCTCCCTCTGTCCCCTCTTTACTCCAGGCTGGCCCTTTCCCTTCACATAATACAGCGCAGGACGTCATCTCTCTGCTTAGATTCTCTCGCAACAATACTTCCAGACTAGACGCAGGCCCTCCCATCCTATCCGGACCACTACCACCATGTCCAACCGTTCCTCTGCCCTGGACTTTCAAGATCGCAACCCGTTTAAAGACCAGAACCCGTTTGAGAATTCCTCTGACTTCGCTCATGATGGCAGGGCGATGAAGGCTCCCCTTCAGCGCAACAAAACGGAGCGCACCCGACTGCAGGGTATCCAGCGCGTTGCCTCTAATGTCAGCGGCAATGGTGTTCCCTTCCAACCGACCGCCCCGAATACGTGGAAGAAGAAGTTCGACGTCTGGATGATCAACGAGGGTGGCAAACGCCTCTTCTTCTTCACCTGGATATTCTTTCACTGCCTGGTCATCGCTTTCGGGTTCATGAACTATGACCTCAGCGATGACCTTACCACTGCAAGGGCAACTTTTGGTATAACGTATCGTGAGTTTCTCTTCATATTTAGTCCTACTCAAGCTTACCGTTCTTCAGCTATCGCTCGTGGAGCTGCATTAGTTCTCCATACTGATGTCATCTTCATCCTTTTGCCCGTTTGCCGGAACTTCATCTCTCTCATGCGTCGCACCCCTCTGAACCACTTCATTCCCTTCGACAAGAATATCACGTTCCACAAGGCAACCGCCTGGTCTATGGTTGTCTTCACGGTCATCCACATCGCCGCGCATATGGTCAACTTCTACAAGCTTGCCCTCGCAGACCCCAATGCGACCACCCCGGCCAAGCGTTTTGTCGTATGGCTTGAAGCCAACTTCACCACAGGACCCGGTGTTACTGGCTGGGTCATGACAGCGGCACTCTTCACCATGGTTTACTACGCCTCCGAAAAGAACCGTCGCAGCCGCTTTGAAACGTTCTGGTACACACATCACCTTTTCATCGTCTACTTCCTCGGCTGGCAGCTGCACGGAATGTGGTGCATGATCCAGCCGGATCGCGAGCCATTCTGCTCTTTCAACTCGATCGGTGTCTTCTGGGTAAGCTAAATCTACGACCACTTTTATCATGTGAATTTTCTGAAGCGTCAAATTGACAGCGATACTGGCTCATCGGCGGTCTTATCTGGAGTTACGAGCGCATCCTGCGTGAGGTCCGCTCGAGGCACAGGACGTATATCTCCAAGGTCATCCAGCACCCGTCCAAGGTTGTCGAACTGCAGATCAAGAAGGAGAAGACCAAGACCCGCGCTGGCCAGTACATCTTCATCAACTGCCCCGAGATTTCCTACTTCCAATGGCACCCCTTCACCCTCACAAGCGCCCCAGAGGAAGATTACATTTCGGTGCATATCCGTGTCGCTGGTGACTTCACTACTGCTCTCGCCAAGGCTGTAGGATGCGACTTTGATTCGAAGGAGAAGGTGAAGGAAGTGGACGAAGCTGGTGGTGTCGTCCTTGGAACTAACTCGAACCCGCCACTCAACCGGGTTCTTCCTCGGGTCATGGTTGACGGTCCTTTCGGTAGTGCATCCGAAGACTTCTTGAACTACGAGACTGTTCTTCTCGTTGGTGCTGGTATCGGTGTCACTCCCTTCGCCTCGTAAGTCCTTTGCATGATGCCCACTTCCCTTTATATGTAGCTAAGCACGTTATAGTATCCTGAAGTCCGTTTGGTACCGCATGAACAACATGAACAACTCGAAGCCTACTCGTCTCTCCAAGGTCTACTTCACCTGGGTCATCCGTGATTTCGGCTCTGCAGAGTGGTTCCACTCGCTCCTCGCTGCCATCGAAGAGCAGGACTTGCAGAACCGTATCGAGATCAACATCTACCTCACTGCGAAAATCAAGGAGGACGACATGAACAACATCATCGTGTCCGACGTCGGTGCCGAGAAGGATGCAATCACTTCACTCCGTGCGCCGACTCACTTTGGACGTCCCAACTGGGACAGAGTGTTTGGGTCAATGGTCGACAAACACCCGGATACGGATATTGGTGTGGTATGTTTTATCTATTTCTATCCCTTGCGCCCAAGATGCTCATAATGCGCGCCATAGTTCTTCTGCGGTCCTCCAGCGCTCTCCAAGCAGCTGCATATCATGTCCAACAAGTACTCCACTCCCGAGGGCACCCGTTTCTTCTTTGGGAAGGGTACGTCTTTTCTTCGGCGCCGCACTCAGTTCGTTACTCACCCATCGCCACTTCTCTCCAGAGAACTTTTAAATGCTTCATGTTTGGAAAACAGTTCGCGGTTTTCGGCTTTCTTTTCGGTTCTTGGTTTCGGTTTCGGGCCGCCCGTTGCCTGGCCGGCGGTTGTCAAGTGTCAAGGATGGTTGCATTGCTCTCTGTACACTCGCTTGCTTGCTCATCTTCGAGCTTTGCTTTGCTTATTGTCATCTTCTCACATACTCCAGACGTGTATATACAAGTGCGCTTGCGTACGTACGGGTACATCTGGGTCGAGTCATGTGCGTCTGTGCCGCTGTAACTTTTATCTAACCTACATCGTTGTTGAATGCAGAGCGTTCACCTTATGGACGACCCGGCGCCCTCGCTCATTACAACTATATAGGTTACTACCTTGCTACACCCGTCTCGCTGCATGTTCTGGACACTCATTTCCTGTGAATCGGCTCGCCGTGACACGGATGTAATTTATTCCTGATCTCGTCTCCATCGTCTTATGTATATACCATGGCAACATTGTTCTTTTATTTGACTGGCAGAGTAACGGGGGGAAACGGTTTAAAACAAATGCAATAACTTTCCTTCAACCAGCGGCGACGATGAGAAAATCCGCCGCAGTCTGGCTCACTGGCGACTCAATTTTTTGGAGACAAACTCATGCCCATTCCAACAACACACTAAGTATATATTGTACGAGTGCCCCTTCGAGGTTCTAGGGTTGTCTCGCTTGTGTCCCGATCGAGCTAACTGGCGATCGACGGTAGACACATTCTGTCACTGTATCATGACATAAACACGCGGCAATCTCCATGAACCTGGACGAAATTGCATACATCGGGGATAAAGAAGCCATGACAGAGTTGAGCAGCTTGTACTCGCACAAATTGAAGACCAAAAATCGCAACTGTGACTGCAGTTTTCCCAGACGCGGTCGCCGTAGAGAAGGCCTTGAGGATACAGTGCGGCCATCACCAAGGCCACCACCACAGTCCGCATCCACCAACCCCCTCCTTGAAGGCGGATGCCCGCGAAGACACGGCCATCACGCATTTGGCATCTAGATCTGGGTAAGCATTGGAACTGAGTTCATGGTCAGAAGGCTCATTGACATCACCGTCGTGCGGCTCCGCCGAGATCTCCCAGCCACAGTCGTGCCATGGCGGGTCCGCACTCTTGGCCACCCTTAGCGCTCGAGGTTTGACTCGGGGTTGATGGCGACCTGAGGCTTGATACTCGCGCTGAGTTCTGATGTGGAAATCTTTTGGTGGCTAACAGCGCCATTCATACAGATGGAACAGGCTTTCGCAAAGCGCAGTATTAGTGCGTTGGTACCTGACTCATTGTTCGTGTCGCTATGTATAAACGGCAACTAGAACTTGAAAATACCATTTCCCTATAGCAAGGATTACACGAGCATCGGATAGCAACACCGGAGCTTCCAAGCCAACGTCAACACTAACCTTAACTCTGACTCGTGCTATAGTGGTTGCCTTGGAGTGGAGACTGCAGTTCCTGGGTACGCACCGAACAAGTATTTACGCTGCCCTTCTGCATCTTCCTGTGTACTAGAACTTGAATGCAAACTTGAATGTGCCTGGCGGCAAACGCAAGTTCCCAACAAGCCGTTGAAATGCTGCCTCCGGCTGGACGGAATGCCGGGCTTGCGGTTGTATCCTCAGGACACGATGGCCGGGGTGCACATATGCTGTTAACAATAATAGCATTTGGAAATGTTAATAACGAAGGAACGTTGTGGGGCACATGTCATAATACTGAGCTGAGACTCGGAAAGTCCAAATTAGGACTGATCCTGTTATTTGACCTGGCCATCACTAAATGAGGGGATGAATGATAAGCAAATGACCTTGACCGATATTACAGATCATGACAAACATACACCGGGGAAATGGTGAGACTCCGACACTAGTAGCATGTAAAGTCCGTTTTTAGCATACAGGGAAGATCGCGGGGATATGTTCATAGCAAAGAATCTATTATCTACTCGAAGGGGTGTGTTATCATTAGCAGATACGGCATGATAATAACATATGGGTACTTACATCTATCATAATCTAAGCGCCATCTTACCATCAGCATAGGCCACATGATAACAACATATAGGTACTCACAGCTATTACGAGTTGGAGGCACACAATTTTTATGAAGTATGGGACAGCACGTTTGATTGTCTGATATAACATGTCAAATACTACTACTATACTACAGCGATATCAAACAGTAATATAAATGATCAGGGTCCAACCCAAGAACATAGGTAAGGCATG